GGGGAGGGTAAAGGGGGTCAAATACAAGGTGACACGGGGTAGTGAGCACATAATATACAGATGTTATAAAGTTGTATACATGAAATTTATGTTATTAACCAATAAATATTAACCCAATACATTTAATTTTCTAACATGAAAAAGACTAACAAGAAAAAAAGAATAATTCCCTGCTTAAGAATGGTCCTAAAGTCCAGATTTACTGAACTGATAAAATAGGGGGAAAGTTTATTACTCTAAGAATCCTGATGATAGGGACAGTGTGGCAAACGGAAAAACCCTCAGCTTTGATTTCAGGTCTGGGTTCTGTCTGTGTGACCTTGGGCAAGTCCCAAGACTTCTGGATCTCAAGCTTCCTTATCTGCAAAACAGGGGTGAGACTGCTTGAAACTGCAGTGTTGTTGTGAGTCTGTAAGTTCGCATTCTTTCTACTAAGAGATTCTGTTTATAACCTTTTCCTAGTGAGGGCCCAATGGCATTCATACCACAGGTCACCTTTGGGGGGAGCTACTTCTATAGCTGGCTCTTAGAAGTGGGTGACACAGGCTAGGAAACCATCCCAGCAGCATGTGGTGAGGTCACACGGGACAGTTGATGATATCCACTCTGGTTTTCATTCCTGTTCTGCAGTCTCCTCTCACATACCAGGGCAGGGCCCCCAGAGACAGTGCTTGCGACATTGGATTCCTAGCTTTTGAAGAAGGGGTAGACCGGAGGGCTTGGCTTTCGCAACCGCTCCAGGCTTCTCCCAGAATCTTAGGAACTGCAGCCCACTCTGGCCCTCGCTAAATGAGCGCTCAGTGGAGGAAAGCACGTGAGATGCCCCTGGGAGTCCCTGATGCTGGGCCCGGCTGCTGGTGCCTGAGGTTGCAGACTGTGGCCGTGTGTGGGGAGTCAGCATGTCTGGCTGCCTGTGATGACTTTCTCCGTGTGGTGGTCCAGTTTGGATTCAAAAGAGTGGAAGGAACCCAGGTTTAATATTTGCCTCCTACCTGCCAGCCAGTGTGCTGGACCCTTCTCAGTCTGATGAGATTCCCTGGAAATCCACCAGTGTTTGTCACACACACAGTTTTTCTCTACTTGGGAAGGGGAGAGAGAGAGACAATCTGAACCCTGAGTCTGAATCTGTAAACAGAAGTTGTGAGGCTGCTTCCTCCCAGCAGAACCTGGTGCCCCATTGGTCCAGCAGACCCTCCTAGGGGGCTGAGAAGTCCACTGAGGCAGGATAGAATGTTCTCATTCCCTGGATGTGCCTCACAACAGTTCATTCCCTCATTTATTCATCCTGTTTGGGCCGAGTCTGTGTCGGGCACTGGGGAGGCAGTGGCACCTCATGGGGATTCATGTTTTGTGGACACCGCAACTTTTCCCTTTTCTGTCAGCCTACTAGTACTTTCCAGAGACAGGCCTCGCCACACTGAGTCTCCCTGCCTTGTGCTCTTCTGGAGAAAAACCCCTCCTAAAAAGACTGACCTGGAGAAAGGGTCTCCAGAGGACCTTTCCCATTTGCATTGCTCGGGAGGGGACATTGGGCAGCCGACCACTTCCCTGAGGAGTCCCCACGAGGCAACCGGATGCCCTGCTGCTACTGGGAAGATCAGGGAGACTTGACCTTCACTCAGCTCAGTTGTGGCTGAGGTCAGACCCCTGCTGTGTGGAGGGCCTGAGCTGTTCCTGTGGCCCCTCCCCCTGCTCCTCAGATCATGTGGATAGTGGAACTACTGGGAAAGGAAAGGGGTGCCATCTGTCCCCACAGATCAGGTCTTTGGGGCAGTCATGGGGATGTATTCACTGGACAAACCTTCAGTTATTACTGATTTGCCTGCTGAACTCCTAGCAACAGCCACCCTGGCAGGGATTCTGAGGTAGATAGGATGCTCTCTAGGTCTTTGGGGACACTCTCAGTCTAATGGGGGAGCCAGGCAGGCAAGCAGGAGCAACTCCAGTACCCTGGCTTGCTGAGAGTGCTTAGGAATTGGGAATGTGACTGAACTGTTGGCCAGTCCAACCTCCTGGTTTTATGAGAAATATTCCCAGTCTTGGTGGTGACTTGTCCCAAGTCACAGGTCCCTGGCAGAACTGAGAGCGAAACCTGGTTTCCCTTTCCCCACCCAGCCACTGCATGGAGTATGGCCTTTCTTGCTTCCTCTCCATCACCATAGTTTTAACTGCGTGCTGGAGGTTTTAACTCCTACAATCCCTGAAGAGGTGCAGAGCTGGGCACTGTCCCCTTTGGTGTCAGCTTTTGTCTTGGCAACTGTTTCCTTGATGAAACTTGCCACCAGCATCCCTCGGAGGTGGCCTGGAGAGGGACCTACAGTTTCCCTGAGACTGGAGAGGGCTGGGTGGTGCCGGAGGGAGGCCTTATCAGATCTGCAGCCCAGGTT